AAGAGGACAACGGCAATGAGCACCTGGAGAGACTACATAGATTCTCGAAATAGCAGCGAAGGAAGCGGTAAAACGCCTGAAATCGACGGGTCGGAAAAATCATATCGCAAGAAAAGTCACGCACAATTTGTGGGAATAAGAAAGAACACCCCTTATAGAATCGGATTAGTATATTTTTCCCAAATACAGAGAAGGATCAGTCGAAAGACATCAAAAATAGAGAGAAATTAAGTTGATTTGGATTAAATACTATTAGTGCGAAAACACTGGTTAGCGATCAACTTTGCTTTCTGAAAACCAAAGCCGCTTCACAAGCTTTCTCATGGGGACTTGGCTGGCATCTATGAGTATCATCGCTGCGTACCCGAAGAAATGCATGCATGTGCGCTTCGCAGCACCGATATACCGAAACACGCAGTTACTTAAAAGTTAAGACTTCGAAACAAGAGTGCTTTACGATCACGCGCGCTGTAATGTACTTGTGATGTCGTAGACCACGACGGCAACAGTTGAATCGCGAATATAGGAAGGAATAAGACTTCTGAATCGCTCTTGGCCGGCGGTATCCCACAGCTGGAGGCGAACCTACAAACAGATAAAGCAGAAATTGACGTTATGTGGCATGCATCGTTGCCCTATTTACCGTTCTGTCCTCGAGGTACATGGTTTTAGATAGAAAATCGATGCCGATCGTCGCCTGATACGTGTTATCGAAACTATCGTACATGAACCTCGTTATGAGCGACGTTTTGCCGACTAGAAAACCACAATGCATGTCAGACGGATCAGTCATAGTCCTATACGGCGAACACCGTCTCGCCTTACCGGACTGTTCACCAAGGAACACCAACTTGAACTTCCTCAGCGGGTTACCAAAATCAGAACCCATCGTTGAAAAATTAGCAGTCCTTAAAAAAAGAAGAAAAGGCTAACATATTAAAATGTTCAAGTAAAGGACATTTACAACGCATCGAAGCCGCTCAAAAAACTGTATTACCCAAATGCCTTTCAGGATGAAGACGCGGCATATACAGTATCGCTAACCTAAGCATTACAAACGATCAACTCTTCGAACCAGATTCGGTTTAGTTAGCACTGTTCGCCGAAATTCTCCAAGAACTTTCAGCCATTGAAGAAGTTCAATCAGAAAGGTGCCGGACCTGCCGACCTACAGATACCTTTAATTCTTTTGGGGTAGATTAACATCCGTATGTACAGGAAAAAAGATAACACTGTTTGTCACATAGCTGTAGTAATTTTCTTCCTAAAGAAGGAGTTCCAAAGTGATAGCATCGAGAAGGTAACCTTCATCGCATATAAGTTTAAGAAAGTACAGAAAGGAAAGTTTGTAACATTTGGGATGTCGGGCTACCTTACACCTTCTACGATGGTTGTCATATGCGGCACTACTTCATAAAAAATATGATGCTGCGCTGATCTCCGTTCAGTAGTGCTGTATTTTAAAGGTAACGTCTACAACTAAAAGGGAAACATCTTTTCGATCAGCTTATGTTCGTTTTTCTACCTTAGAAGGGTGAAAGGCAAGTGATTCAAAAGAGCACGAACTGACCATCTCTCGATTCTGACTCCGATCCTCAACCGGCTAAGGTACCACATTTTCACAGAAAAAGGTGCCATAAATGGCGCTAACCGTGAAAGTTAACGAACACTGACATTCAAACATTCAAACGGTTAGAAATTCATTTTTACTGTCCGCAAAACATAAGACATGAGGCATTCATTAAGATCTCTCAGGGACTAAACACAGACGATAACCCTTAGTCATTCTGGTACTTAAAATATTCTTTTTCTACACGGGTTAGCTTCAATCACATGACGAAGTCTGCCAGTGGTTCAGCAGATCATATCAGATTGATGCCAGGCTACACTGGCGACTAGAAGAAACATTCAGCGGCATTTTATAATTTCACTAGATCTCAAAATTGTTCGCTCGCTATTCACGAACTGACGCAGAGTTCAGTCTTCTCGACAGCATATAACAATAGCATATGAACATATGTACAACAACAGTGAGCATATGCAATACAGTTTTTGCCCAAGGCGTTTGACAAAGGAAAGCGAATTTTGACGGAGTCCCGTTTGTACTGTTGAAGCTAGCCGAAATGTCCCTTGAAGTATCAAAACGTATGGGGACAATTTTGGGGACTATAGGCTTGCACTTTTATACAAAGTAATTCAAGCTGATTCAAACTGAAACATAGTCCAGTACCACACCATAATCCACATTAAAAGTTCTTCCACACTGGTGTCCATCACACAGAGATAACGAAACCGGCATACTAAATATTACAAACTTATTTCCAACTTTCTTTGTATAAACAACCTAACGGAAAAATCTTCAATTCGAGACAACTATTGTGCTGATCGCTCTTCACTTCGCGACAGACTTCTCGGCAGCACAGATCCTTTCCTTTGATTTTCGAAACTGGTAAAATTAGATTGACGAGTTTTGCAGCGTCTTTGCTTAACGAAGCCTAGAGTGGAGTATCTTGTTTTGGACAGACTGCCCATCTACATGTCTTCGCCGACTCAGAAATGGCATTCGACATGGTGGAGCATGACGCATTCTTCCGTGTACTGGAAAAGCAAGGAAACGAAGAACACATCGATCTGAATTTTATTCGAAGTATACTCAAGCCGCAGCCTGAAGATTCATCTGTTTAAAGATCCAGTTGAAATCAAGGTTTCGAATGCAGTCCGTCAAGGAAACATACGCTTAAGCTACCCTTAAGCCATTTACCGCATTTTTGGAGTCAATACGTCTCAAGCTGAAATGGGGCAAAGATGTTTCATTTAGATCAACGGCCGGCGGCTCATTCGTCTGCGACTTGCTGA